GAGAGAGAGAGAGAGAGAGAGAGAGAGAGAGAGGGTGGGTGGGGTAATTTTCTTTTATTGTGTACTTTTCTCTGAACTAGTGAAAGGGAGGTAGGCCTACATGCGCAAGAGGGGTTGTGTGAAAAAATGAAGAGGTCACTACTATATTCTCGAAACATTTTCATCTGATTACTGATTTTACTTTATGACGTTTCAAGGCCCCACGTCCCGCCTCACGGGTCTGTGATGTAACAGTTAGGCTCTTCGCCATAGCACACAGGAGGCCTGAATTCGATTCTCGAGTCGGGAAGTTTTTCTTATCAAGTACTGTATTTCTATCTTCCACTAGGAAGTTGTATACTACTCATTCCAAGATGTCTCCGATTGGCTGGCTGAAGCAGCTTGACTCTCACATGATTTAACCGGTGTCGATAAGGGCATAAACAACAACAACAACAATAACAATAACAACAATAACACTACTACTAAAATACAATAATAATAGCAGTCCTGGCCTATTGAGAAAAAGACTTCCTGTTGGACCATCATAAAAACCAGGATGGATACGTTATATTAAAAGAAAAGCTAAATATGCATACACACTCCTAAAGATATCGACCATGTTATACTAAATTTCCGTCCACAGGTTTCTGGGAGGTGATGGTCCACTCTCTTCAGAACCCACGGACAGGTTTCCCTTGTGGCTACGTTGACGGCTGCAGACCGGAAGGCGAATCAGATGCCGAGGAGTACCTATGGAGCAACTTCCTCCACTCGTACGAAACGAACCGCGCTCCTTTCGGCCTGAATATGCACGCTGCCTGGTTTGCCACTCCAGAGTACATGACGGCGATGGGCAAGTTCATTGATCGTCTGCTGACGACACCTGATGTGTATATTGTGAACGTGAGGCAAATGTTGGAGTGGATGAAAAACCCAGTGCCAGTGTCGGAGATAAAAAACTTCGCTCCTTGGGGATGTCCAGGGGTAACCACGCCACGACCTACTAGAAAGCCGACGACAAGAAGACCCACAACGACAACCTCTATCCCTAAACCAACAACCACCGCGGGAAGACGTCCTTACTGGTACAGGCAGCCCACAAAAGGTTCCCTCACTTACCCCGTGAAGGGGGTCGAGAACACACAAGATACAAACCGTACACCTGTCGATAACCGCGGGTCTGACAGTGGAAGAGTCTTGCCATGGGTACGTGAACACGGCTGGCGTGCGGCGACATCGACAAGGAGTCCTGCTTCCAGCTGGAACAGTAACGTAAACCAACAGAATAATGACGGGGCCCAATGTGTGCAAGACGTCAATTGTCACTTGCCTGACTGCTTGTGTCGGTCAGTCACCCCACCACCCCACTTGAGCACCACAGGAACCCCACAGATCATCTACCTCGCCATTGGCACTGAAGTCGATGGAAACTCTTATGCTTCGCTGTTACAGCTTTTCTCGGGTGACAGAAAAAATCCCAACGGTTGTCCTATCTCTGGTACAATCTTTGTCCCCTCTGACGGAAACTACCCGCCATATATCCAAGCTCTGAAGTCTAACGGCGTCCATGTCGCTCTGCGAGGCGGCTCCTACGAGGGCTGGTTTTATGGAGATGCGATGAGGAGAAGAGTCGCCCAAGTAATCCATAGCATCAAACCTGACGCGTCCTCTAAGGCCGGCTGGCGAGGTTATGCAAATTTGGCACCCAACGATGACGTCTTCCGCACACTGACAGAACAAAACATTCCCTACGACAGCTCAATTGTCAGCGGTAATTCTGACTTGCCTTGGCCGTATACACTCGACTTCGGCCTCGGAGACCAGTGCGCAGAACGTCCGAGCACTTGCCCGAAAGGACGCTATCCTGGGCTGTGGGAAGTCCCGGTCACGCCCTTGGTTGTTCCACGTAGCGCCGGCCACTACTCCGGCGGGGGTGTGTCCTCATCCACCTGCGCGTTCCCAGATACATGTCCCGGCACGATCAACTCCGAGTCCTTCATGAAAGAACTGTTGAATAGGAATTTCATGCGTCACTACAACGGCAACCGTGCACCCTTTGGGATCAACCTCCAAGACTCGTGGTTCATGAACACAGACAACCAGGCTAGTCTCAGAGGACTCTTCGCCTTTCTAGACGATGCGTTAGCTAAACATGACGTCGCTGTGCTATCCATCGAGCAAATGCTGGATTGGGTCGCCAGTGGTGACAACAATATAATGAACCTAAAATGTTAATGTCTACAACAAATCTCTCTTTCCATGTTAGAGTATAGAAGATGCTCTGCAACTGGTAGTATTTCTAAGAGAAACGTTTTTGATGAGTTGGAATAATTCTGGATGAGAATTGATATTCTCTCTTTCTGAAGGGATGAAATAAAAACGGTTTTCTTAGCAAGCTTCATGAGTCGAGCAACGACGGTAAAACATTTGTTCCGCAACCAGAACAACTCTAATAGTTGTCTTTCTTACATAGCCTTGAGTATTTTATTACAATAAAGCAGAATTGCTTTTTTGCTGCGTTTGTCATCTTGAAAAGTGTCCCACTGATATAGATAAAGGAAGATAAACTTTCATAGAAACATGGAGAGTGAGGACGCACCAAGAACAATAATATTATGTACGCGAACTCAGACGTGAAATATTAAAAAAAACAAACAAAAAAAACAAAAACAACAACAACAACAAACAAACAACAAACCCCCAAAAGGAAGGAGACACACATCAGAAGGACAACGAGGTGTGGAACAACACACTTCGAGACCCAGTTACTAAACCAACATGTCACGCACAGTTGCCCATTTTCAGAAATGCGACTTCAGACATTACAGAGGTCCAATCATGTGCCATTTAAATTTCCAAAGATAAGTAGCAAAGAGGAGATGTAGTGTAAATAATCTTTACAAACAAAAAAGTAGCAAATTCTAGAAAAGTCTATACCGTATGTAAAAATCATTTCACCTAATAATTGCAAAAAGTGGGAAGTTATTTCTGGCAAGTCAGTTTCTCATCTCTTCCTATAGACGGTTAAAATGACAAACCTGCAAATGAAACAAAGCGAAACTCGATTCATTTTCAACCAGAGAAATCAATAATTTCGTTAATGTGGCAAAAGTAGGAAATGAGATACAAAATCAAATAAGAATAATCTTTCCAAACTACAATGGTGACGTTAAGTAAGAAAATACGAGATGAAACTGTCTAGTCTAGATGGCTGGTTGTGTTAAATCTAAATTCCGTGGTTGCTGGAGAGTTAACATGATCAAAGGAACTTTTCCTAAATATTGTTGTGCAACCTAGGACTGTAAATAGCCTACAGGTGAAGAAAAATGGCCATCGCTCACCTGTGTGTTCCATGTGGTCTTCACATTTTGTCGAACTCACTCACTCAGTTGTCGCCGAAAGGCTGAATGCCTTTTTAGTTAGACATGATTAAAGTGTTTGGAAGTAGCTGATCTATCTACACTTAGGTGTAGGCTAACTACTGTCGATTTTTATTAAAGAATTGCCAGTGAATGAACATCAAGCAGGCAAGAGGATGGGAAGAAGGGAACTGCTAATTCTACTAGATGCTGAATAAAATACGGTAGACGATTTTTTCTCCTCCCCCTGTTCTTTTTCGTCATCATCCCCAGCATCCAGCCCAACTCACTCACACACACACACACACACACACGCACACACACACACACACCCACCCAGTGGCACAACCAGACACCCACACAGATAAATACAAACACTCACTAAAAGTCATACCCACTAATATTATATTTACACGCAAACATTCACACGCACACTCACACACACATGCACACACACACATACACAGACACACACACACACACAACCAAAAGAACCCATTTTCCCGAACACATTCGCCCTTTTTTTCGCCCTCACACACGAAAGCATACCCACAATACGACAAAATACTCCGAACATTAATTTGTAAAACGTTGAAATGGACCCCCAACGTCTCCTCCCCCCCCCAAAAAAAACAACAACAACAACCCCCCAACAAAAACAAAAGAGAAAAAAAAACTTTTAAAAGAGTTCCCCCCCCCCCCCCCCCATTAAAAATGTGGGGGTGGAGATCTCGTTTGTAGCCGAGAACCGGCGACGCAATTCTTGCGAAACCCATTTGTTCTCCCTTTCTACGTTTCCCACCCCTACTACCACCCTACACCCAGAAAGCAACAACAAAATAAAACATATAGAACAAACAAACAAACAAACAGATACATCAACAGCAACAACGAAAACCACGCTTGATTATTTTTCTTTTTCATCAACATGAACCCATTTCCTTCTTTTTTAAAGTGACAATTTGATTTCTCTCGTTTACTATTAAAGAACCAATTTTTGGGAACATTCACGTGTTTCGTGTTATTTTCTTGAAGATTCTGTAGCCAAAGGATACCAAAAAAATATTGAAAACATCTACAGGCGTAACATCGTGCCAGAGACATCGCAAGTTTGTGGATTAAAACCCCGTCAGTGGCTTGTTATTGTGTCCTTGGGAAAGGCACTTTACACGAGTAGGTAAATGGCAAACGATCTTGTCTGTTGGCATAATCGGCTGCTTGTACTGTGTGCTTTCCAGAATCCAAACATGTTTCTAAGTGGTCAAGGCAAAGAATCTTTACATCTTTGGTCTAGGGTCCGCTGGGGTAATGAGAGTTGTAGAGCGAGAAGAGCTTGCTGTAGAGCAGGCATGGGTAAGCATGTCAATGTCACCGCAGACCGGATTAAGCGATTCCGAATATCTGGCCGGCCAAAGCAGTACATGTAGAACATATCCAGCAGACTCAGATATCTCAGTTGATATTGTGTTAGGACTTCCCTGCGGATGACCCTGGTTCGAATCCTCAATTTCTAAAACTTGGTTTGTGTTGTGTGGGGATTTTTAAGGCTTTCACTTTCAACCCAGTTGATTTGTCCGGTTGGAGATGTACTTCAAATTCGGACTCACTGCCTCTGAAATGATCTAGAAGTGTTAAGAAGGGCCCTAAACACATATCATGATATGCAGAATTGAGCTAGGGCCAGAATATCATTGGCCTACCGGCGATAGGGTAGCCTTATTGTTCGGCTGTTCATCATTGCATGCCAAAGATGCAAGTTATTTAATTAATTTTATCGAGAAAGTAGGATGCAATATTTGACCTTATAAAAATCGTCACTGGTGCTGATAAAAACATTAAATTTTGTTTCGCGTCGGAAATAATTTCTTGCACTCTTTTTACGTCTATTCTTTGCACTCAAGAGAAAAAAAAATACAGTGTAATCTGAAACTGACAGTAAGATGCTATGCTAATAATATCATCACATCAATTCCTATGACTTTTTGTTAAAAATACGGCAGCTCAAACCTAAATAGAGTATTGAACCCTCTATAGTTCTGTGGTGGGATACAGCAGTTCAACAAAAAGATTCTACTACTGGATAAAACAGACTTCTTCAAGCAGGAATCAAACTCATGTCTCTTGCACGAGAGTGTGAATAGGTTAGTTAGTACCTCACAGACACTGATACTCGACCCCTGGAAAATAATATATTTATGTATAAGACGAATTAGAGGCTAGAGAGACCTTTAGCAGATGATGTCAGGGAGGCCATTTCTTTCAGATGAATTTCTCACGCGCGTCTTTTTTGTACAATACGATACAGACTATATCCATCATAAATACACGTGCAAATAGTGTACACTTGCAAAGTCTCCTATTCTCTGACAACTGGAGACTCCTCTGCAAATGCATGTGTTTATCATAATATATATAAAACTACCCACGCCTGCGGAGTAATGGTTTGAGTCCTCAGCTGTGCATGCAGAAGACTTAAGTTCAGTTCTCAAGAAGGGAAGTTTCTTAAAAACTATCTCCCATGTGTCCCTACCAAGAATGCTTTATCCCACTTCCAACAGGCTGGCTCAAACAGGCCGGGCCAAAACAGTGGGGCCTCCTTATGATCTAATTGTGTGATGGGGGCAAGAAACATTTCACAATAAATTTAATCATCAATCAATCATATTATATTAAATCAATATTATTTTGTTCAATTGCTTCTTATTCTTAGTTTTTTTTAAAAGCCTAATTGTGATTGCATTATAGCGCCTAAAGGCATACTACAGGGACCATCTCTCTAAAAGATTAATTCTTATTAGCTATTGCTTGAAACTACTGAAAAAAAAGCAGTATTCATAACACAGTCTACTATATTACTAGAGACAAAAAAAATGACATATCTACAACAACAACAACTACAACAACAAAGCAGAAAATAAAGGCAAAAGTTTGTAGTATGGTGTCAGTAATATTTTCTATTTATTTTTGTCATAGTTTCAAACATTTTGAGTCATGGTCCAATAATTTATTCTGTTATCACATGTCCAAAGGTATATGTACACATACTTGCGCATCTTCCTATGGGAGGAGGAGGGCTCAGTAGCACAGCCGTACTGTGGCGACCATCAGGTATACACACAACCATAGAGGCAGGGATGGGGGGAACACAACGAAGCAGTAACATTCGCAGGGAAGGGAAAAGGGGGAGGGGTGGGGTGGGAAGGTGTTTTCTTCTCCTTTCTCCTCTGACAATATGATGACAGCAAATACAAAGTTTGGTGGAGGATTCAGTTCAGAAATGCGCACAGGAGAACAGCAAGTTGTACAACAATAACAACAACAACAACAACAAGACCAAAGGAAAGTGTAAACAAGTTTGTTGAAAAATAAACATTACAAAATTTGAATACAAAGGGGGTTCAGTGTGGGTCTTCCACTGTCACAGCTTGCTTATAATATGTCTATGAATTTGGTTCTAGCCAGTTTTTACGATTAGTCGTGTGGTGTTTTTACATGAATGAAACTGCATACATACACACACACACACACACATGCCTACACTCAATACAATAAAACCACTGTGTTTCAAATAAAACAAGTGCACCACATGAAAATGAAACCCACAATATATTCATTTCACACAATATTCGAATAGCAATATCAATAAAAAAAACTGAATATAATATGAAACTTAGAAAGTTGGTATAGCCTTCATCCAGTATTTCGCATGCAATCAGTCAAAAAGTTCCACTCAAATCGATAAAGCATTGTAAGACCAAGAATCTTTTGACTCAAAGTAGCAAGAGTCATCATGCAGACTAGGGAGAAACCCTCACATTCTTTTACAATGGCCTCAGAGGTTGAAAAAGGAACAAAGAGATAAGGTAAGCAGAGCTCTACTTTTTCCATATCTTCACAGTAATTACATATTGGCCCAAGTTTGCTGAACTGGAAAAACTTCAACACAGTGCTTACCTAAGTCAACCTTAAAACTACAGCAAAAGTGAAAAAGTCCCAAAATTCTATTTATAGTACAAGAAAAGAAACCCTGCTATACTGGTAATACAAAACAGTTAACAGGCTGTTTTACCATACCAACTTCCTGAATCTAAGGGAGCAGATTTTATGTTTGAGACCTAATGATAACCCTTTCTCTACCAAGCCTTATCTAGAATCCTAACTGAATAGCCAAAAACTGCTTTGGCCTAGGCAAAATGAGGACTATAAAGAGTATGTAGAAATTTCAGAGAAGTGCCCTCGCTCAACAACATACCAAATCCAGGGCAGTGGTGGTAGCTCTCCTGAAAAGTTCACTGTTCCTAATGTCCTTTTTCCTGACTTAACACAGCACCTAAAAGTCAAACCAACGGAAGGTTTTTTCTAACTTCATTCACAGCTGCTCTCTTCCATCTCATTCACACTGAACACATTTTATAGAAAATGTTGAGATAACCACTGATGACCAAGTGTGCATTGACACACATAGAGATAATTAGTATGAGCAAGTTTAGAAAGAAAACAATAATACGTTATAAATAAAAATTGGGCGATTTAAATCCCCACAAAGAAAACCACTAAAATTAGTGCGGTTACTGTATGGGTAGATAAACGACTTAGAGATTAAAATGGAAACATGACTCAATACACTGTTAAAAAAAATCACTTCATTATATAAATCACAACAACAGAAACAACAGAGAACAACAGACCCGCGAGTTACTCAAGAGAAATCCGGATGGCGAGTTGGGTACATCATCATGACAAGCAAACAATTTTAGAACAATTTGAATGCAGCGGCATGGAATGGGTAGAGAGTATACATAAAGGAATGAAAATACATGAGCTGTAAGTGGGGGAAAATCATACAACAGGTTCTGCACCACTGCTTAGAGAGCTTTGGTATACATGCTTGCCATTCAACTGGTCAGCACTGCGTATAGACAACAAAAATGGTTCGTTTCATCCTGTCAGGGTTAATGCCACAATAGCCAGAAAATAGGTCATCTAGGAGACAAAAAAACCTCTTGGCCTATATGCCAAGGAACCAAGCCCTGGGAAGGTGTTTGAGTAAAGAGGAAGAGAGGCTCACTGCACTCTGGATTGAATTTCCACCTTTTACGTAAGAGTCTGAAATTTCAAAATGAATTTCTACCCAAAACTGAAAAATGCTCTAGTAGGTGCAAACAATCAAAAGAAACGTAGGAAATGGCTTTGTGAACATTGAAGGGCGTTATGTCCTAGTAGAAAAATAGTACATATAATTTATGTATACAAATCAAGCCTGTTGGGCTCAAGAACTTCTATTCAACTTCCCCTGTAATCTAGTTATAGAATCACAGAAAAAGGAGACCATGCAAATCAGTCTTCAAAACCACCAGTGCTGCAGTAACGACTGACACGGAAAATATGGTTTTTAAAGAAGTTGACACATATTAAATATGCAGTAACAAAATACAAAAAACAAACATATTAAATTGTATTGGAAAGAGCCCTTTGTATAAAACAAACAAAAAAAGCAACAAAAAAGATGGAGGCTGCTTTGCCATCTAATCTCTGTGTCTCATTCTGTGTAGCAGACAACAAACTTGACCAACAGTCTGAGCAAGGTGTTTGATTGCCAGAAGAGTCCAGGCTTTTCTCATCCTACCTTGAATATCTATACTTTCAACTCAACTCTTGTTTCCTTAAAGTAAGACTACATTCTCTGCTTTTGAAATGACCTACATTTTGTCAAATGCACAGGTCAACTTGAATAAAAGCAAAAAATAAAAAATAAAGGGTGCTCAATATCTCACTTGAAGCTTCATACATGTAGATATCTTGGAGAGTTGAGAGAAAACCATGTAATGCAAACCCCCCCCCCCCAGATGTCAGCTTTGCTGCCTAGAACTTACACCTATGAGAAAATAGTGGAAGTAAAAAAACGACAGAAAACCAGAATAGAAAAGTGGAGCTAAAAACCATCATACTGTGGTTAAAACTTATCATCAGCTTCTTCACAATTTTAAATGATCCCTTACTTCCAAAGGAGTCAAACTAGAACATATGACTGCTCTAAAATAAAAACAGTGTACCTTAAAAACTATTGAAAAACAATACCGTGCCCTTATAGTAGTGGGGGGTATTTTTTCAGACCTATCTTGGAAACTGAACCCTCAAGTAAAACCTTTTTGCAAGGAGAAGTGTTACAGAGAATCATCTTTACTTTAAAAAGCAACATGAATTTTTAAAATAAAAATCCAACATTAACAAGGTAAGGATGGCAATATTGAAAAACAACTTTCATAAAACAACGAAAATTATTTGTGTTTTCCTACCAAATCTATTCACATTTGGTAAACTGATAGATATACTCAAAACAAACTTGTGTGTTGTTGGGCTCTTGAATATTGGGACTAGGAAAAAAGTTATAGGCAGATAAAGTAGCCTATCTCCCCCCTTCACACTTCAAAATGTGATTACCCAATCATCCATTATAACTCAATAACAAATGCATCTATCCACCAGTAGGCTACAATGTTAGGCAATGATGCACACGACAAGTTAAACAAATATAACTGGAATAAAATACAAAATAAAAAGTAGATGAAAAAAGGGACCATGTTTTATCAACTTACTTATACCATTTCTGCTCTACCCTAGAGTTTTAAAAGACAATTTAAGGTAAAAATGTGCACTCTCCAGATTTTCTCAGAGCTAGTTTTAGGCTCAGATGAGAGCCCAGGTACCATAATTTGCCCCCAAAGTGTCCATTTCAAAAGCCCCCCCCCCCACACACACACACCTATCCCCCCTTTAGGAAAACAAAAACAAATCCCTATCCCCTTTTCCATCAGACCTAGACGGCAAGATGACCGTCACCTAGTTTGTAAAGAACTTGTTCAACGACTGCCCACCAATCGTTAAAAATATTTTTTCATGCCATCTAATACCAGCTGAACACTCATACCAAAGGCGTGACTGTATGAGAGAGGGGAAACAACCCTCAGCATCACCTGGAGGGCCCATTACTTTTCTTGTTTATGTTTAAATAAATCAAAACCAGAAAGAACTCTGGTCTAGTTACCATAAAGCAGTAACTGTTTGTCTTTCTGCTTAAAATAAGCACATACTTTATTTCCAACCATCCTATTCTAAAATCTGTTTGCTGGAAGACCAACAAATAAAGCAGCATTGCAAGTTGATTGATCTTTTACTCATGTGTTTACTGAACAGAGCACAGAATGAATCATGATCTGATATCTTCTTTCTGTTTTCGTGAAAAAAATAATGTCCACTGAAAAAAGTGGATGCTATAAAAGAGAAGAAGAGGTAAATCTGTACCAGATTTTTGTTTGAATAGCAGAAGGTACCTATTTGTAAGTTGTTATGTGTGTCCATGATAAACAAATAGTAAAACTGGGAAACATACTGCACACTCAAACGAAGCAAAATTCTACATTTCCTCGCTTTCTCAGTTTTAAGAAAAAAAAAGGAAGAAAAATGTGGATTCATTTTTCATTCTCTGCCTCCCTAAAAATTGAGACTCTCAAATGTGACACAATTGCTGCTTTCGCTCTTTCATTCTTAACCCCTTCATGATCCATAATGATTGACATAACTGTTCGTCATTTTTTCTAATATTTGAAGGAGCCAAGATGCTGCTGTGACATACAGCGTTCATCATGCCTTGCAAAGCGTGTGGACCATTACGAAGAATGCTGTCTATCAGAGGTTGCATTCTGCATACTGGTTCTATTAGATGCATTTCGTAAAACATATAATCGCAGATTCACATTCAGCTATATTTTTTTCAGTACAAAGAAACCTTTTTCCTTTAAGAGATACTTAGTACTGTTTACAAACCAGGTCTAATCATAGGCAACTGACTACTTAATCTAGAGCAACTCTTTTCCCCTATCCCAAACTGTGCCCAGTGAAGCATGAACTGACCCTGTGTCTTAAAGTAAGGGGATAAAACTGAAGTCTTTATGAAAAACATGAGCAAACATGGAAACTGGAAATCTTCACAGCACAAGAGACTGTATCTGCTGAAAGGAAAATTTTACTTTTATCTAATGCTCCTCTAAATCTCTGAAAAATAAGATGGAAAAGTGTCAATCTCTCTCTCACTCTCTCTCTCTCTCTATATATATATAAATTTCGGACTGTGAAGGATACGATAAATTGTGTTTCTGGTTATTGTTGAAGCCTACAATCCTGCAGTACAATACAAACTCGATGGCAGACACTTGATCCTTGTCAGGTCACCGGGAACAGAAAGAAATGTATCAGGTAGAACGGGAAAAATTCCAAACCTTCTTTGGTTCAACCTTAAAACAATGTTGGTCAAGTTTGAAACAACTAGTCATTTCGATCAACAAAACAGATCTGAAGACACACCATACTGTACTATAACTTTCCTTTTGCTTTTCAACCCTCCCTGCCCCATCCCTGTTCCAGTCATTTTACCATTTGCTTCATTCAGACATAAGCTGTTATACAATTTTTAATTGCAAAATGAGGATGCCAGTGGCTTTACAATGAGCACTGCCTTTACCATGCTGCAGAAAGAGAACAGGTTAAGGTTTCTCCACTATTATTGATGTGGTCTTTGGTCTGAGAAGGAACAAAAGTAAAAGCCAGGATGTAAATAGAACCTGACCAAAGCCCAGAGTGCACTAATTAGAGTTCCATGACAGATGAAAAGAAACATGGGCCAAGCAAAAGAAACATAGAAATAATACAATACATGTAAAGATTGGTGTATTTGAAAGCCAATATTCTGACTAGAATAGGGTTTTAAGAAAAGTGACTAAAGGGTAAATAATTATACATTTGCTGTAATAACATGGTAAAGGGAATAGTATAAAGATATTGAAACAAAAACACAAAAACAAATAACAAAGCTCCAATCCAGAAATTAAGACACACTACAATTTAGTTTGCTGTTCAAGAATGCACAAGACTACATTGGTTTTGTTAGTATTGGCACTTTTAATTGGCATATGGCTCAGATTATTTGTCATTAATTCAGGTTAAATTTTTCTTGAGACAAACTTCAGAAAGGTACCCATGGCATGCATTTTAAAAGAAAAGAGCATCACATATAGTACTTCGAAATATATATCCTCTTCATCTTTGAAATTTTATCATCTCCTTCCTTTACCACTTTCCTTAGAAATATAATAAATATAAGAAACTAAACCTGCAAAAACATGCAAATCAGGATGACAGAAAAGCTTTAGGGCAGACCTATGTTGTGAGGCATGCTGACAAAATTAGTTACTTGCCGATGTCGCAGTCCACGAGTGGAGATGTCAGCCAAAAATCAACACATCAAATTTGTAGATTTTCAACTAATACCATTTTCTTTAAGGTAAAATGTCTTTTTTCATTTCATACAATTAATTGTTCAAACCTAACCCATAATTCTGACATAACTTGTCCATAGGGCTAAAATCTGTGAAGTAATTTATTTTGTGAGCCCGCCTCACTCTGTCTGACTAGGTGACAAACTGATCTCCTACAAAGCCTGTTCAAAGAATGGTTTATTCACGCACATTAAAGCCATTTTTGTTCTAGAATATAACGAGTTGGATTCTAAATTTCATATCACTCTCAACCCAATGTGGGTCAATAAAGAAGCGAGGCCTCTATATGACATCCACAGGATAAGTAATAAAACGTTTCAATGTATTTGAACTTAAACAAGCTGCAATACAGGTACCTCCATGACAGTGTGAGGAGTACAATGTAATTGTTATTATCAACCCAAAAGCCTTTGAGCTTTGGCCTTTGGTTCAATGCCACATTATAGTGGGCACAGGTCTTCAAACGTTCCTTATAACAGTTCAGGGATTTGTATACGTTTTGGACAGGCGAAAGGAGCTGTTCTCGTATGTCTGACAGGTATGGGGGTACAAGAAGAGTTTGGTAAATCACCAAGCAAGTGAGATAATAGATTTTCTGAACAGATCTTGTCCAGATGACAGCTTAGTGGTACGAGCAGAGTTCAGAATGTTATGTTCATTTTTAGATTGGGAGGGTGGGGTGAGGGGAGAGGACTAGTCTCGTCCTTTTTGTTGGGGGTTTTATATTTTTCAGAGTTTGTCCTCTTCATAGGGCCATACACTGACTTGCAAGGCAGATCCCTTGTTCACATAGAGAATACAGAGTAAAAGTAGAGAACATGTCGCTGACAAACGGGAATGAGAGTGAGTATTTTGTGTCGGGGAACGCTTACCCTTCGGAAGCAAAGACATTATCAAGACATCAAATACATTCATACATCATCTTCATCTAATCCATTCTCAAAAGATACAACCAAAATGAAAACTTTTTCAAGTCCCTTACACACAATAAGCACAAAAATGGTAGTGGTGAGGGTGTTGGTGAACTTCACTGAACATGGCGGCAGTATCTTCGCTTGTAAAAACAAACAACAGAAAAACCCATCAACAATTACAACAACAAAACGTGGAATGATTAAATTGGTAAGAAGTAAAGTCACAAGGTCCCATCAATAAAAATGAGGTTAAACTTTTTAATGGGATGACTCCGAAAAATGACATGTGTGCAACGAAGAATGCCTGGAGAGTCTGTTCTTCCATCAGCATCAGGAAAAGTGAGAAGCTGGAAAGGAAAGAGTTTATGCAAATCAATGGCACACTGAAAAAACAAGCTTTCCAGTAATCATAAAATAGCATGAAATAAATTTCAACGGCAGATCAACTTTCAAGAGAGGGAAGCATATTGCAGTGGACCTCCCAAAGTTTTTGGGGGTGGAGTGAGGGGAGTGGGGGGAACAAACTTGCTCGTGCACAAACAACAAAAGTACAAAATGCATAATAAAATATCAAACTCAAGAAACGGAAACAGCCATCACTAAAGAGAGGGGAAAATATAAAACTTTGCAGAAATAAAAAAGGCTTGGATACAAGCAAATAAATGTAAACGTTTGAGCAGTTTCTTGCCGGGTTTCATCGTGGTTGGGAGAAAGGCCATAAAACTGCACTGATTACAAACAGATCCAAGAAACAAAACAGTAATTTTAGCAAGCTCCCAAACCCTTGAAAAAGCTACAGCTACTGGGTTGGAAGATATTCGCTCCATCAAAGTGAAACCAAAGTATACAGGGATAAAAGGAAGCTATATCTCCTGCTGTAAGCTTCCACTCCATGACCATCACAGACAGAACTGCCTATCTGATCTCAAACACTTTCATCAAGAGAAGGAAGAATGATAGCTTTTGTTGAGTGTCTCATGGCTTTGGCAAACAAACTTACCACCATTCTTTCATTTGTGTTTTTACTTTCTTATCCTAATAGGCCATCAGAATTCAAGTGTGATGACAAGCTTCTCTCTGCAACAGTCAGTGAGAACATATCAGAGATAAAAAGTAGAGGAAAAAATACTTTTCGAAAACAATGTGAAGTCAGGAAAAGAAAGCTACTGGATTGAAACTCTCATCTTTTGAGTGAAAAAAAAAAAGAGCAAAAGATTCTATTACAAGGCTGGCCTCCTGTCACTTTGACAAAAAAAAAAGGTTACTTCCAACATTCTGTGGCATCCTCAGTATGAGGCAGAAGCCAATGTATATTTTTTCAAGCACAACAAATGACCCCCATCAACAGTTCAGATGTTGGCGGGGGCAGGCTGCTTCCACTTTGCCAGCCAGGGTTAATTCCAGCTGTCCCAACAGAAAGGCGGAGATATTCAATTACATATTGAGGGAATTGAACTCGAGTCCTTTATGTGCTAGACAAAGAGCCTAGCCATGATATTACAATGCTGGTTACAAATCATTTAACTTTCCTAAACATGTTTGATATTAATGCAGCAGTAAAATTTCTAGACACAACTTGGTCTTTTTCACTGCTTTTAAACTGATTAGAATGTTAAGGAGCATGCTGGATATCGCATTATTTCTTGAATATTCCCATGAACATTTGAAATTACTATTTACTCAAGATTCAACCACTAATCCCTTGTAAAGTTCAAAAGTGAAAAAAGTTATGTGTAAAAATATAAATCTACAGCTTTACAGACAACAGATTTAGGAAATGTATTTTACATAGTTACTGCGAACACATATGCCACACCCAGTGACATTCCACATAATGAACAACCCTTTCCAGTGATAATGTTATCCAGAAAAGTTTGAAGGAGCACTTTTACCGACTCACATAACTTCAATCCTAGCCAATATATAGGATCTTAAAAACCTCTACCCAAAGAACAGAAAATCTTAATCCTGGGATTCATGACAGGATTAACAAAACTCAAGAAGTTTAAGATTCAAATATTCCAAACCAAATTCAAAATGTGCAACACATCGAGGCTGGTCATTTAGAATTTACAGGGCTGAGTGGAAAAGGTACCAACAATTTAATCAATTCAAGAAATTACACTTTTAAGCTTTAATAATTGAATTGTCTTCAAAGTTCAGAGACTTGCTTTTCTTTACAGAACTTTCCAAATGCATTGGCTAGAGTGTGATGCCATCACTTTTTTATCTTTACAAAAGTGCATTTGGATAGTTTTTACTGACTTTTGGAAACTTTCAGATATTTTACTATATCACCCTCTCTTTGGTTCAATCAAAATTTTCAAGAGGACATTTCTTTCACTTCAGGACCATAATAACAAATCTTTTGTACTTCCCTGCAAGTGACTTCACCTTTTACCATTGCAGGAACGAAAAGGAAGCAAAACTCATCCCCATGCACTAAAATAATAGGAACTATTTTGGAAATAGTAAGATAGGGAACCTGCTTGATCAGTAGGCTGACGCCTGACACCCACCATTCTGCTTCACAAGCTCTGAATTCTGCTTACTTCGTTGCTTATGACCTCAGACTCTACTGCAGTGATAAAAAAGCCATCAATATGAATAAAATAATGTGAGTCTTCTATGACTTGTATGTCAATAGGCCTACTAATCACAGACAGATAAGACTCAAAGCCCTCCTATTCTGCCTGTTTCAGTATGAGCATAGTATTAGCTTCTACTAAGACAAAGAAAGATGTGAAAACTTACTCTTATGAAAAAAAGAATAACTCATGACAGAAGAAATAAATACACAACCGGAACTGATGGAAACTAATGACAACACTTGGGTATTGGTGACTTGACAAACCCACAGCCGCATCAGTAGGTTCTTCCAAAGACCAGAAGCCTTGATGACAGTACTGGACAGCAATTGCTGGTGAGTAGTGTGGAGTCCTCCGTCAAAAGTTCTGTCACCACGATAACCACCAGCAGAGAAGCCAGATTTTTCCGTGCGACCAGCGCAGTAATCCAGCACAAAATCCCCCGAGACCTACCACTGCTGTGGAGGTGTGACCACAAAGTCCAGGGAGCTCATCCTTTTCCTACAAACCAATCGAGGAACCATCAACTTCTTTGTGTCTGCCACTGTCATCTCTCTGTACCTCTCTGTTACAGAGCAAGTATTTCCTTCCCAGAGAAGTTGGAACTTAGCGGAAAAAAAACACCATGCTGAAGGTGAAGTAATCCTCATGATGGGTTGGAAATAACGGACAACCGAGACTGTTTGGGCTCTATCTCAAGAGAAGCTTTGTACGTCTGCTCCTCATCCAAGAGCCGGCTTGGGTCCAGCAGGTAACTTGTAACCTGGAACAAAGAAAACAAACCAATTAAATCTTATTATTTTGAAAAAGAGCACTAAAACTGAACAAGTAAAAGAAAGCAGGAAATACATTTTCCTTTATTCACTCCAATTTTGTTCGTTTTGTTTAAGAAAGGAGAGTTTCTTGTAACTTTTTGCCCATGTCATGGTTCATGAGACAAGTGGAAAAGCAGATTTTGTTTAACAACCTAATACATGAACCTAAAATTGCAGAGTAATGAGATTATCTCATATTATTATCCTAAGTAATTCTCAAACTTCATTGTGCATCTGACTTCAAACACAGAAAAACTATTTACACTCTATCTTGAGCACTATTACAACATTTGCAGCAGAAAGCATGGCATTGTGGACTGGGGTGTCTGTGGACTGTCTGCCCACCCTGAGAAGAGGCCATTCATGTTGAGGATAGGAGGGTACTAGGAGTTTTCAAGAGACTGGAAAGACCTAACTGCCCTGTGACCGTGTAATTCCGGTAGGGTTCACGTTGCCCATTCCCCGCCACCAATGGCTACTGGCTAAGGTTTTCGACTCTTTCATGAGGTATTGGCCAAGTGGGGAAGCCATTGGATCGTCACGTCCTGGGTCGTTGTGCCTTTACTAAGAGGTTTCACGGCCAGAAAGCAAGTTAGGCATTCTGCTCGGTCCATCTCCTGCACCCAGACACTCTCAAACTGGCTGGGCAGCAGAAAGCATCAAGTCTTACCCGTGGATGATGTTCAATTTTGTAGGAGGTTTGCTGGAACAGGCGGATTTCTCTTATCACATGAGCAATCTGAGGAAAAGGGTGTGAATAAAGCTGTTGTGGTATCCAGTTTGTTCCAAAATGCCACCTAAAATTGTTTTGTCCTGATCTCATTCAAAGCAAAAAATATACATACGCAGTACCCTGAAATTTCTGAGACTTCAATTAAAACTTAACTTTTAGGGCTTCTTATGCCTTCCATTTGACCAAATTATGACATGCTAAAATTACCCCCCTGTATTGCAATTAAAAATTCAGAAGAAATGCAGTTCAGTGTACTTCTACATATGGATATGTAGCCATAAAAGTCAAAGCCATAACTTGACAACAGTATTCAAGGAGTTACTAATATTTAGTACTTATCACGACACGATGTTGGGAGACCTACAAGAAATATGACTTAAATAATAATTGACAGCCTTTTACAGCTCACATTCAATGAGAGAGAGCCCAATCTCTTATACAATATCAAAAACAAAAATGTACGCACCCACACAATTGTTTGTTAGAGGCAAAGTACATGAATACATATTCCCTCACTCTCTTTAATCAAGAACTCTCATCTTTTCACCCAGTTTCCCTTCTTTTGCCACTCACCTATAGGACACACTCATACACAAGTAAACAAACCGGTGCACACATCATGCGCAAACACCTGTGCACACACGGCACAGAGGAATGATAAAAATGCCTCAGTGACTTATTTGTTCTGTGGACACGTCACATTTTCCCTCCCCCCAAATTACAGCTATATGCATTTTTATGATCCTTACTGGAGGCAGGCATGTACTGTTTCTACCCTTCAGATGGCGGTATACAGCACCAAAAAAAAAAATGAAAATGAACAGTATACAGCACCAAAAAAAAAAATGAAAATGAACAATCTTTTGCTCCAACCACAGAGCTCAACAGTCTGTAACTCATGGCCCACCTCTGTAAAAAAAAGTCAGATGAGCACCATATCCTCAAGCTAATACCCCCCCCCCCCCCAACAAACATGAAAAAGCATATATAAAGAAGGCTTCATGGCCCATGGGGTTATGCCTTATGGTATGGCCAGCAAAATTTTTTGCTTGGCGTTTTGAGAAACTTTCGGTATTACAATTTGAGTACCAAGTTATGAAAAAACAACAATTGTATTTGACATTTGAAATAAAAGAAAATTAAGAAAACCACTTTTAAAACAATTCTGAGCTTTACTTGATTACCTATGTGTGAATGCTTTGTTACATGTCAAACTCAGAATACAAAACAAAATTCTTGAAAGGTGAGCTACACATATAGACTTGAGCGAAAAAATCAGGTCTTACCATTCTCATTTTTGAAAAGTTGACAAGTCCATCCTCTGTAACATTTGGAGTGCCTTCTTCGATGAATGACAGATCAGTGAGGTACATGCCCAAGTATGGGATGCAAGGAGGGTCACACCTATTGCAAAGACAAAATGACAGTAGCTTGCAACATACATCAGCTATTATTAAGTCTGAGGTTGAATTTTTAGGTACTTTTCCAAACAGTGCAGATAACAGCCTAAACATACTTGAAGAGATTCAAAATCAGTCAAATTAACATATCTTAGGTACTTGAACAAAAGAGACGATCGTTTAATTCTTGTAGAAGTGTGACACTATGTATGACTCGGACTGTTATGAGCAAGCACCAGTGCACTTGGTTCTTCATCATGGCACAGAATCTAACACAAAAAACACAGTGTAATATGAGAAAAATTTGAACTCAACGTGGACATCAACGATGAACTTCAATCTGCAGGTCAACTTCATGACTAACAGCTGCAGAAAAGGCATGTCTGCTCTCATCCCCTTCCATAACACAAGACAACAGAATATCCACAAACTATGCTAGAGTAGAACTAAACTAGACAAGAAACAACACAACTTTGATCACAAAAACTCAGAACAGCTGTCACTTGTTGATCACGCATCAGCTTCTTGCCGACCGTTGCCCACCTACCAGCATATGTCCTTGTAATCAAGGACACCTTGTCAACCTAACATTTGCCTTAGTCTAATGGGTTTTTTTTAAGGGTAAAGTGGCACTGAGCGACTACAAGGGTTCAGTGCAAAGAGGATGTTAAAGCTAGATGGCTGCATGTGATGTAATGACGTAAACTGTCCGGGTCTGGTAGTTTTTCTCCACATATTCTTCAGGTAGTGGTTTGTTTAGTCAAAATTTAAAAAAATCGAAAAACTGAATAAAAATTGTAACCATGCCGCCAACTTTGTAATGATGGGCAAACCTGGAAAGGGCTTGTGTTGGCATATCGATTCAGAGAAAATAACTGCAGCAACAGAAATAAAAAAAAGGAAAAACGACATCCCTGCAAAATGTGGTAAAAGAAAAGTACAGCCCTCCATTTTGAACTACATGACCTAGTGCGCAATATACAGGGTCACTGAGGTAGTCAAGGTCAGACTAGTTATTTCTCTGATGGGGTGCGATTGTTGTGTTATATGAAGACGTATGCGGTTATACTTTACTTTCCTATGTTCTGCAGTCTTCTCACCTGTGCAATGCATCCCTCATGTTCTTGAAACGGCCCTCAGAGGAAACCAATGTCTGTAGCCTTTCAATCATTTGTTTGGTCTGGAAATGCAAGAAGAAACAAATAGAGGTACAAACTACCAACCTTACAGTACTCCTTGAGGCACATGAAACAGAAAGTCCATCAATATTAGATGCTTTTAAAAAAATTGCATAAATAAACAAATATTTCATTTCTGAGATCAAAGCAAATCAAACTTTGATGTTCATCACCTGAAAAACTGACATGGTTGATGAGGGCAAATGTGTAAATGCTTAGGAATTCTGTGTCAGAGTGACAGAATAGTGTTTAGCTATTGCTCAACACAAGAACAAAAATGTGCAAATACCACTTATTTCAACCATGAAAAGACATTCCTGTCAGTAAACCAATCTTCAACATAAAGTTCATTTCTGCTTGCAGCATACTTCGTTCTGGACAAGATCTGAATCCATATTTCCTATTCTAGTAAAATATACATAACTCAGCACACTATAATCTTACTTGTTTAGACAGCTTCTCACTGGTTTTCTTCAGCCTGTACACAGAGCTATTTACAAAAGCAGCACAGATCTGGAGTACTCCATTGTAGTTTTGCATGCAGCGGCAGATGTCAGCAATGGCTGCCCACTTTTCGATGCAAGCCACGCGGTCTTGTAAGTTTGAGCGACCAACAATGTCCGACACAACTAATCGGCTGACCTGTGAGCAAATCACAAGATAATAATATTAATTGCAATGCTATGAAATGAAGTGGCACTGTAGTCTTATAGAGAATTTTCACATTTACATCATATTTAAGAACATGACAAAGTATTACCACACTATAAGCTCCATACAATACGGACTTGAGGCAAATGAAGGTATGATAGTTTTCTTAATATCATATCAGTGTAAAAATGAAAACACACACACCTACTGAGAAAGTAATCTTTAAATTAGAAAAAATCAAATTTTGCATAACCTACGTATTTTGAAAAAGGAAATGAATCTCAAAGACATATCTAATTGAGCAACATAGTAATGTGTTGAAAGACAAGGATCGATATGTTATCATTTACTTTTGAAGGAAGCAGTTCAATAAATTTTCCGTTATTTTTGTTGTTTTCTTCGATTGCTGACAATATAACCAAACTCAGATGCATGACAAACCTCGTTGAATCTTTTGCTGACATGGAGAACATGCTGAGCTTTATGGCATTTATCTGGCTTCATCCAAGCCTGGCTTAGCAATTCTCTGGAGAAGGTTAAAAAGTTAGAAAGAACAAATGAATTAATGATAACAAAAACGCAAGCGAGGCAAAAAAGCTCATGCGGGATCATAAGCATAAGATGCTCTATAACAGAAAGAACTAGAATATCAGGAAAATACAAAGGCCTAATAAACCACATGGGCCCTCATCACAGGACGTAAAATGTGGGAGTCTTCTACCAATCACAATGTCATCAACTTTACAAAATAAGCAAATATATTTTAGTTGTCACGTGGAAACTTCAACATAATAATGGCCACATTTTGCCAGGTGCCTCCTAGGATGACACTGACACTAATAAGAAGCCCTAGAAGAAACATACCAGGTCTCATATACTCATAAAACTGTTGGACCTAAAAATTGATGAGATACTAAAGCAAATCAGTTAAATAAAGACTCACATGTCTGTTGAAAGACAGTCTTTCAATGCTATAAAACAAAGCTAGAGTATACGTAGAAACTACAAACTGATTAAACTAAGGTACAACCTGCTAGAAAAACCCTCAACCATTTGATCACGAACACCCCACCCCCCCAAAAAAAAACGACAAATATCAACATATCAATGGTGTATAAACTCAGTCTTGCCAAATCTGCATATGCTTTCTTTAAAGTAGACAAAAAAACAACTCCTGTCTGGTTTGCTCATTTTACTTCAAATATGAACTGAAATTTGAGAGTTATTCTAGTACATCTGTTCTAATTCTGAGATTCTTAAAAGTAAAATCACACAAAATCTTTGAACAGGCACAAGAAAATATTTTTAAAAACAGAATCTCAGAGTTGACAAGTTTGCATCTGAAACCATCGACATCCTCCAAGCAACTTACTCGCTTCTTATTGCAATAAAGATTTGGTGGTCAAGATATGTTAACTGCTCTGCTATATCCAGAGCTGACAGGGAGTCCGAGTTGTCTTTCGATGGTGACTGAGGACAAATTAAAAAAATCAGCGTAAGTACACATCCATATTTAATTTATCCAACAATGTTTATTTTACTTACAGAGCCAAAAAACTGGAGGAGCAAAATGTAACCACAATTTTAGATATACAAAATGTGTCATGACACATAGGAATCTGGCGCTTGTCAGTTTTGGGGATTTGGAGCTATTGGTATCATCTTAAAGCTATTCCTCTGTTTTGCTTTTGATGAAAAAATACCCCCCTGTGTGGAATAAAAGTCGAGATATTTGCGATTAAAGGAGGTAGGGAGGTTGCCTACTGTCAGAGGTAATATTAGTGAGAAAATAGCCGCCGAAATTTGGTGACACCCAAGTTTGAGTGGTCTTGGAAACTGCAAGTTTACATTTTTTGTGTCTTTCATCAACAATCTTCAGTAAAATCTACTCAAATATCTTATTAAATAAAAGGTGATGAACCATAAAAATAAACTCGATAAAAATTGTCCAATGCCACACAAACTATCTAGACTATCTATTTTAAAAAATCATGAGATACACAAACGTCAGCGAGAATAATTAAAGCATAATAAAAGGTATTCAACATCCCATTAACAAAAAAACTAAAAAAACCTGTCGATTCTTCTGTCTTTAGCTAAGTCCAGTGGTCTCTTTCCTTTTGATCTATTGAATTGTCAAGTCAAGCAAAACCCCTCATCAAAGTGGGGTTAGCCCCTGAAATGAACTATTTGTTTGTTTGTTCAAGTAAAGACAAGCAAAGCGACACAATAATGGTCATTTAGTGCAACAATGTACACAGATACATTGAAAAAAGAAAAGTGGAACCTATAAGTGGTGCCTTCCAACCATCCACTGACCAATTTGTATTGAGGGCATTGAATCAATACAAAAACAAACACTGCTAATGCAGCTGAAAAGTAACAAGTACTTTTGATTTGCAATATGATAATAAGACACACTTTATTGATCCTCTATTTGAAGAAAACAACAATATGCTTTCATATATCCTGCAACCTGCCACGACCATTTCATGTGTTTCTGATCTAATGATTAACCCTTGGCCTAAGCTGCTCCAGTTCAGCTGGCATGCTTTGAGCTCAGGGCTAGACTCTTGAACTGGCACACGGCATAGCTTGGTCGTTTACAATCATAACAAAAGGTCTACTGCAGCCACCCAATCCATGAAATAATTTATATTCAGGTTTTATTTTTATACCAAAGAGTATTCATTTCAACTCAGTTCGGGCTTATATCATGCCGATAGGTTAAATAGAGGTTGAATTATGGGGAAATATATGATGGGTGGCTTGGAGGAAAATTGGACAACAGAATTGGCTGTGTACAAATTCTAGAACAGCCTTCTATGAAGAAGAAAAAAAATCATCTCACAGAAGGGGGCATGAGGAGTTGAGCCAGGTCAACACGCTTCTCTGGTGAGGGTTCCTTGCTGATGGTGCGCAGGATAGAGGCGGCAGCCTTGTGCTCCGCAGGGAGCAGGTTCGTGTTGACAACCATCTCTTCCAGCAGATCCACCACCTGGGCCTTGAGCTCAGGGTCAGACTCAAAATCCTGGGGGGAAAGGGGAGGGGGGAAGGGGATTGGGATAATAAGATCAATTGATAAAGGTATGTGAGTATTGTATCAGGCACTAACTAGACATTTCATATTTTTTAAAAGTCGCAAAATTGTATATATTTAATGTCCCTTTCAACACTGCAAGGTTAATTAGGAGGTAGGAACTCCAAAAAAAAGGCCATCTCCAATATGGGTGGAGAACGTTCACCCAGTATTTCAGAAGACTAAAAATGAAACTACAAGATTAAGACTTTCAAAAGAGGCAGCAGTATGCCAGGAAGTGCTGTGATACAGGGAAATGAAACATGAACAATAGCAACCTCTATTTCAAATGTTTTGTGACCTGGGACTTGATAACAATAGTACTTTAAAAAAAAAAAGGGCATTCTTCTGTATAAAAGGCCAAATTAGGCTTTTTTTTTGTGAACAGCCCGCTGGGCTAGCCTTAAACTTTCCTCCTTTCACCATTATGGCCTGATTTTATACTCTTGAGTATAGCCCCATCAGAAACCCCCAACAGAAAAACAGTGCATGATACCTGTAATCAAGAAAAATGTTTTGCTACAACTTAGTATGTATGTTAGATGTTTCTGGAGCTAAACACTCTCGTAGAGAACACCCACATTACATATTTTTGACAACAAATTTTCCAGTTCCCCACATATCAACCTGTATGACCAGCTTCGTTTTTCTTTTAAAAATAAATAACTTATCCAACCCACTTCTGGGACAAATTATCAAAGCATATACAGTGACAGTCCCTCCAAAAAAACTTCCTTAAAAGCTTTTTCCCCATTTCATCATTTTGTTACCAGTATCATGTTCTGAAATATCGAGGTAAAATAATTCATAACCTGAAGTAACTTTACAACCAAATGTAAGTCTATGTCAACAAATTTTTCCAGACAAAGCAGACACTGACAAATGAGTCTTCAGGTCATTACTAATATACAAGTCTTTGCTGACAGATTATGGAAAACAAAAAATTTTCTTCATCTGTACAGTGAAATTTGTAACCTTAAAACAGTATTTTTCTATCTCAGGACCACCCATCCTAAATAAAACAAATCGAACTGCAAAGGAGCATATCTCATAACATGAGCTGTGGTACACACTACTGGATAACTGCTGATCAATGTTTAAAAAAAGGGCCAACATAAAAGACCCAGCTCAAGAAAAAGGAAACAATTTTTTCCTCCACCTTCATGCAAGAAAATAAATATTGGCCTACTTATGATTACAACAATCCATACATTAAACATGCAGATGGTAAAACTACTCTTTAAAGAGTTTCCACTTTCTATTTCATAAAATTCCATATCAAACTAGATCTATCTTTAAAACAATGATTAGTACTTAAAGCTGCAAATGAAACTCTATGCTGATGCATGAATATAGAGAATTATGCAACACCATTCAACAGTGGTGAAAACATTCATGCACCTCAAGATTCCAATTGAACCAACAACCTACCAAAGTACAATCAGTATCAATCATTGTCATAAATCTAAGATATTATACTATTTATTTTCTTTATTCAGTGTCCAAATTACCACCACATACACTTTAGTGCAAAAGTATATCAATGTATAAATCATAAAATATGTGGGGGAAGGAGGAAGTGAAAAAGAAAAAAATATACACCACTCAAAGGTAAACATGCAATTGAACCCAGAACAAAAATGGAAAAATCCATATATAAGCTCACAGATCCAGACATGCACACACAACAGAGAAGACATTTTGCAACACTATGAACATTCTGTATTTAACAAAATAAAAATAATCTTGGGGCAGGGGATAATAACAAGCATGGCATTGGTTGATACATAATGTCTGCTCAACTACAGAGCATGTATTACAGTGTTTTATCAGCCTTTCACACACAGACAAGATTGAACAAGCACATAATTCTAAAGAAACCTGCCAAGGAGTATGTAACACCAATGTTAGTCCAACTTCACTGGTTCCCTGTGAAAGTACACATTCAGTACGAGATAGCTGTCCTTCGTTTTAAGTGTGTCAACAATATTGTCCCAGCTGAGTTTAGTTTTAGTAGAGGTTTTACGGCGCTCGCAACTGCATAAGGTCATATGAGCGCCAGAAGATTAGAGGTGTTACAAGAGAGTAACAAACATAAAAAAAGAAGAAGGGGGGATAAGGACGATAAATATTTGATAGGAAAGAAGAAGCAAACCACACCAGAGCACCCACCAACCACCCACTGTCCCAGCTTATCTTTGCAACATGGTCATCGATTTAGGACCACCTCCGCCTCTAAGACTGGCCCCAAAAAAGACTGTTAAAACACGCCTAAAGTAAAAGTCAAAGACTTGGAGGGAGAGTTTTTGCCCCATCACGCTCCCTCCGTGTGGAACGCATTACCAGCACACCTACAGGATGCCACATCTTTATCAAAATTTCAATCGCGCGGGCGCGTGTGTGCAATTGTTTGTGGGAGAGACAGAAAGAGACAGAGAGAAAGAAAGAGAGAGAGAGAGAGAGAAAGAGAGAGAGAGAGAGAGAGAGAGAGAGAGAGAAATTACTGCTATTAGAAACATATGGTGCTTGTGTTATTTGTACTATTGTAAAGCACTTTCTTAATGGAAATGTGCTATATAAGTGAAATTTATAATCATTATTATCATTAACTTTGAAAATAGGAGGGCCAAGTTTCCTTGCATTTTTCTCTCGTAAGTCCCAGCAATAATGTACATGTTACTTGCAGTCATCTGGATATTCTTTAAAAAAAAAGAAAGAAAAAAATTATTAAGTATAAATCCTACTAGGCACAGCTGAAGCGCTTTAAAGGTGGAGTGTCTGTTCTCAAACAACGCACTAAGTTCATTAAAAAAAAGTTAAGAAAGGTTTGATTAGAGAATTCTTTCGTTTCAAGGAAGGAGGCACTATCACTCCATCACTTGTCCCTTCTTTTCCTTTGGATTAAAAAAAACTAACGTCAGAAAAGGAGGAACCAATAAACAGAAGATAGAGGGCTATTTTTACAGACAAAAAACCTATAGACCCATGCTCCATAGGGTGAAAATAAATCCTATTGATCCTAAAAAAAAGGAAGACAATGTTATTAACCACTGACATCGAAAGAATGAGAAGGCAATGTTATTATCCACAGACATAGAAAGAATGAGAAACAGTAGACTACCATTAGAAACAATGAGATAAATATGAGTTTTGGTAGCAAAAATTGAGGTGGAAATGATGTGAATAATGTGACAAACCACTTATTTAAACAGAGTATATATAAGACTGTATCTTTAACAACTAGTTAGTTTCTCATATGCAGGGAACAGCACAAACAACACATGTACACTTTCACACAGAGGCCATAACAAGAGTGAATTATGGTTCTAAACAAACCACTAACCACTAGGAGCAAATCTTCTGTTGGTTCATTGAACATAACTTAAAGGCAGTCTTGGCTCTAAAGTTTAAGTAACAGAGATCCTAAATCGATATTCTCAAAAGGGAAATCTGCTAGATTTTTATTACATCACAGTTACAAGACTTTGATTAAACTTGAACATAATTTTGTTATGTCTTATCTAACATTAAAAAAAAAAAGAAATGAAAAAGTTTTGGCACAAAATGAGTACAAGTATTTCAATTACCAATCATGGTAGACATAGAAACGCTGTAGAAATAAAAGAACAGAAGGAGTAACAAAGTTTTGTGAGACTTTATATAATTCTTAGAAATATACTGAAAGAAGACTGTGAGAAATGCTGTAAAGAGTGTGAGACTGACTTTTAAAAGAAGAGAGAAATCAAAGGGGAGGGCAGAGAAAATATCAGGAGCAAAGACAACAAAATGTGAATGAGAACAGATTTATTTATAAAAGTTCCACAACAGGAAAATATTGTACAAAAATGCCCTGCCAAGATATCTTCCAAATGAGAGTGTGTAAGTGTGCGTGTTTGGAGTCTGTATATATATATGTGTGTGTGTGTGTTTGTGTGTGTGTGTGTTTGTGTGTGTGTGTGTGTATGTGTATGTGTGTGTGTGTATGTGTGTGTGTGTATGTGTGTGTGTGTATGTGTGTGTGTGATATCTTCTAAATGAGAGTGTGTGAGTGTGTGTTTGGAGTCTGTATATATAAATATATATTTGTGTGTGCGCGCGTGTGTGTGAGTGAGAGAGAGAGAGAGAGAGAGAGAAAGAGAGAGAGAGAGAGAGAGAGAGAGAGAGAGAGAGAGAGAGAGAGAGAGAGAGAGAAAGAGAGAGAGAGAGTCAATTTCACAGTCTCATTTTGCCTGTGATGAATAAGGGGTAATACTATCTTAGTCATTTCTAATCAGGCTTACATTTACTCAACAGAAAAGGAAGACTATATGGTGGGGTTTACAACTTGCAGAATAGCCAGATAAAAGGGAATACGTGAATACTGAAACTGTTTCACAGTAAAGTCTTTTTTTTTTAAACGACAGGGAGTAATGTACACCTCTCAAAATGGGTTAACTCCCAAGAGGAAAAGAGAGAGGCTGCTGAACAAGATGATATATACATTAAGCACCTGAAAAGGACTGTATCAAGCCCCCAAGAACTGCGTCACGCACCTGAACAAGACTGCATCAAGCCCCCTAAAAGACTGCAACAAGCCCCCGAGAAATGCGCCAAGTGCTTAAACAAGAATGCACCAAGCCCTTTTGAACAAGACTGCATCCAGTACATCAGATCTTCTGAACAAGACTGCACCAATCCCCCTAAAAAGACTGCACCAAGCCCTCTCAAAGCAAAAAGCAGCATGGTGGGAGGAAATAAACATCAACTGGACAAAAACAAACAAACAAAACAGAAATCTATACTTGATGGCATGTCCAGACACACTCCGCTTTAAAATCCCCCCCCCACATTGAAAACCCCCAAACTGTCAAATCACACATTTTGGCCTTATTTCCACAACAATTAACTAACATGCTAAGTATTAATATAAATTCCAGACACTTGAGAACTCCTGCTTGGAGCTTATTTAGGCATAAACAAAGTTGTAGTTGGGGGTCTAGACAGTCTGATAACATTTTCTTGCTTGCACATTCTGTGGCTACACAGCCGTCCCATATTTATAACTACACAAAAGCAAAATAAAGTCAAAAGCCAAAACAGCTGCCAAATAAACTTACACTCTCTGACATGTGAAACAGACCTGCATGAACTCCTAAACAACCATCTAATCATAATTAACCAGGAAAGTTCACCTGTATCAACTAATTTTTCCTCCCACTCAAAACCCAGAAACCACTATATACTGCCAAAAGAACCAACTTAACGAGACTTTTCTGTAATACACAACATGGCAATGGGTAGAAGAAATGACCTGAAGGGCTGCTGGATTCACAACAACAACAACACCTCACCCGCCACCCAAGAGAGGCGGTGGCCCTGGCGAAGAGCACGCTCTTCGGGGCTCCAAACATTTTGAACGGATAGGCTACCACACACACACACACACACAACAACAACAATAACATGGCTTGGCAAGTCCAACAATAATGTCCAGAGAGCTCCATGACAAAACTTGCTATGCACCACATCAGAAGAAAAAATGACAGCAGCTTTCATTTTATGTTATATTAGTTAATATTCACAAAGTACACTTTCATAAAAACATACACTTTTGAACAGAGAGTGGACAACATTTAGTGCATTCCGTGATGAAAAAATGAAAACGTAAGACTGCTGTTTCAAGGGAGAGCAAAAAAACACCTGACACTGAAATTTTTGGATCTGGCACAGAACAAATTTTGTCACTCAGTCTGTTATTGTGGTCTGACTAGAACATAAATCCCTGTTTTATCTATCATTTGGATTTCGAAGGTTACATTAATAATAACATAGTGCAAACTAGATTCAGTGAAGTGCTCAGATTCAAATTTCTAATCCCTCAACCCCCACTCCCTCCAGGCAAACTCATTTTTGATAAATAAAGAGGATTTTGTGTACAGATTTAAGAAATCAAAACATTTTTTTCGAGTGAGCCTCCCAAATTCTTATGGTCTCAATAAAATCTAGCCATGACAAGAAGACAGTGTGATACCATTATATTTAGGAACAGCTCTTATTATTTATTTAATGCAGCCATCAATACCATCACTTAAATCATGGCCGGTGAATTTGAATCTATCATATACAAATAATGAGGCAAAAATTGATTCAGCAAGCAATATGACCAAAAAAAATTTAAGCAAAAGAAAAAAGTGACAATTTAGGATGGCAAAATTACCTCGTAGTTACTAAAAATCCAGTTTTTCAAGATCTTAATCACTCTCAGAGTGTGAGCAGAGCCAATGCAAATTGACCAATTTGTCTGACCTAGGATACATAAAGCACAGAGAGAGAACACTTATGAAACATAAGATGTGTGTCAAAGCATGTTATCAGCTGATTTCTGCTCTGATTCTGGATCTGAAAATGGTTCCAAGACATACAATGATAACAGTGCTGTGAAGTTGGAACTAAAACCAGATCTGGAATGGGGTTAAAAAAGCGAACAAAAAAAAAGCTTTATCATGAGTGACAGCATCTCATTTGCCGATTTCCATTCTGAGTCAGCTCCTGAAATTCGTTCGTTCGGAAATAAAAGAACCACAAAATTGCATAGCTGGCATCTCAGACCTGGCCTGATGAAAGTCAGACAAAGAAACAAAAAATCATAATAGAATAATTGCTGAACTCTGGAATTGAATGTGACTGACCAGGAACGGCAGATCAAACTATCTCCACCTCTTCAAAATAGGTTAGAAGAACAAGTGGCAGAAAATGCAACGGAAACATCTCATTCACAATCACAAACTGCAGCTACTTGAAACCAGTCAATGTGAAAATTTTGGTCAGAGGAAGGGAAAGACAGCTTTCCCATGTCAGAGAAGAGTTCACATGTGTTCTAGGTTGTGTGGACAAGAAAAATTCAGTTTCTACGATAATTTCCCATAGCAAAATAATTAGTAAACTTCAGAAAAAGTTTCTGCAGATTTTCTCTCAATAGAGGAAAACAAAAGAAGAAATCGAGAACGGATAAAGATGGAGAAACTACGAAAAGAAAACCAATCCAATCTTGAGAACTCAGAAAGAATTCAAGATCACATACAACCCAAACCTGAGGGGCGTGGGTGTTTGTGCCTGTGTATGGGAAAGAGAAATAAATTAGACAGGAAAGGAACCCACAGTAAAGGCCCTCTTGCAGTTAAACAAACATGTGTGAAGCCAAAGAGACCGAACAGGAGAGCATGCTTACATCATTACGAGTGATGCACCTTTCCCTTTAGCTATCCCCAGCTACAAGTTCAACGATGTAGCAAACAGAATAGGCAGCTATGAAAGATGAACACATCCCAGATTGGTTAGAGTGAGGAAGATGGCAAACAGGCACAAGACAATTCACAAAAGTAAATATGCAATATATAGATCGGAGCTCAGTTGCTCATGCGTGTTATTCCACCATTATAAGGTTTGCACTTCCTGCTGGTTTGCAGTGGGTTTATTTAATGGGGGAACACCTAAGTTTAGGCTGTACAGAAATGCTGATAAGTATTGCCGTGACATTATGCAGAAGACTAGAGGCTTACACAGCGATTTTTGCACCAAGAAAAAGTCACATGAGGTGTGAGGACATACATCAAAGTGCATTTTCACACTCACTATTAGAACATTAGTAGCAATTTACACATCAAGCTTGTAATTTAACAAATCAACACAGGAGGTGCTGACGGACATGGTGGGAACACACAAACACATAATGGAATCAAATGGGGAGGCTGCAGATGGCACCAAAAACAAACACACAGGTTGTGCTTACCCCTGAAGGTGGGTACAAAACAACATGTAAGGAGCAGAGGAGCTATAAATATATATCACCAGCACGTCTAATAAGAGTATAGGAAATGAAGCTTGATAGAAATGAGGCAATATAACAACAATAATAATACAAATAATAGTAAAAATCAAAAGTAATAAAATAATGATAATAATAAAAAAAAAATAATACTAATAATATAATAGTTATAATAGAGAGCACACTACACGGTTCCTACACGGGCATACGCAGGCTACACAATACAATCCTCCAGCGACAAAGGGGCCAGTGAGTGAGGAGCTCTCACCTGTTGGTGTTTGGATACCCAGTGCTTGAGCACATTGAGCACCCGCATGGTGGCTGCAGTGCTGATCACTGACTCACGCTTTTTCATGACGGGCCGGGCATCTAAAGTACCTGTGTTTGTCCAATATGGTGACAAGATTGGAAGGGAAGGCGATAAATCAGAACTAGCTACTTCCTCATTTGGATAGGCAGTCAGTTACAGCAAACTTTAGGGGGTCTCCTCAGAGTGTTCAAGGAATAGAATCCATAGAGGGGAACAAAGATCAGTAAAAAAATTATGTGAACTTTTACTCTTCTTCTAATTTATGTACTCTTTACGAGTCTAAAGTGCCTGTGCAAACAACTTGTAAGGACCGAGAGAAATCTAAACTGTTAACAGCAGAAACTAACAATGAGGAGTACAATAAAAATTTGACTTTTCTCACTCTCAAGTCTCAAACTATACATGACCAGCCACTGTGGCATCTTTTCTATGTGTGTCCAAGATAGTGACGAGATGGCAAAGGGGAAGCTATAATCAATACTGACCTCTTCACCTCTGTTTTCATCATCCCTTTGCAACTGCTCAATACTAAAACAGTTAGGGTTTTCATGGTTTTCAAAACGTTTTCACACTGGTAACATAACTGAATTGACATAATGCCTATTCTCCGGATTAAGGTCCCCGATATAGGGAGACTGGCCAGGATCTTGTACAATTTGCGCATGAGGAAATTGTTTGGAGGACCGAATGCCTGAGTGCAAAAAAGGACTTAAGTACCAGCTGAAACCGCAGCAACATGAAAGAGGTGGGTCTACCTGTTACACTACATCATTTTACGAAATCCTTGCAATGGTCCACGCATCACACAAAAGCATAATCCAAGGTTTTCATAATACCGTACTCAAAGTTGGTATCCCTCCACCCCCTCTAGCAAACGAATAGCAAAATGTGTGTCAGACTATAACCAGTTAGTCCATAGGAGGACAACCACAGCTGTGAGGTCAACACAGATGGTACTTGAAAAAAATATTTATGGGCACAAATGCGAACACACTAGATGACATGTCAAATAATAGCACTGCTAGAGGCACCTGAAAAAAAAAAATTAAACATGAACATCAACCCCAAGAACAGACTAGACCTTCACACATCCCCGACTGCCAAGTCATAGAAGAATAAAGTTGGTCTGATCCTTCCAAATGCAGTACATGTCAAGTGATTGGAATGGGGAAGGGGGGTACCTGAGGGTCATTTTAAAAATTAATTTACAAAATCGATAAAACTTGAAACGGATCTCCATCAATGTGTCAGAAGAAAATTCCCCAAGTATTGCTGAGATAAAACATTATGATGAAATAGAAAGGTAGAGACAAATGGGAAATACCGTAAAGAAACAGTAGACAAACTGTAACTGAGTACTTTTCTCTGTGATGTTGACCTGGTGTACATGGAATGATAAGATCTGTCTTGTAAGTTCAGTTAGAAAAACAATGGCAAGGTTTGGCCAGACCACCTACCTGTCCCCACACTGAGGTAGCGAGAAATGCCCTTCTGTTGCTGATCAGCACAACTGGCCAACCCTGCTGTGGCTGCAGCAAAAGCTGTTGTCGCTGCAGATGAGCTTGACCTGAGAAATGTATTAGAGGAGATAGCTTCGTTACATAGGATAGACAAGTTTTAAATGAAGACAAACTGTAAAATGGCTCTTGGAGCAGACTCAAATCTCAATTCTTGAGCAGACTCAAAATCTGCTCTTCTCAGCATGCATACTTTGTGTGGACTACAAATTAATCCCTTCAGATAACTTTTAGAATAACAGGCATCAAGATGATGTGGTATGGATAAAACATAAAAACTCAAAAAGGCTTCAGCACCAAGATGACAAACTTGCATGATAAAAAAGTTCCACAGGAACCAGTGGTTCGATATTCCATTACACAAGAAGACAAAAAAATCACACAAGGAGAAAACAAATAAAGAACATATGATGGATGACAAGTTGTTCCTTTCCCTTTCCTTCTTTCAGTAGTTAAACAAATCTGCTAGCTTTAGTGCTTTTAACTGTTTTGTAGATCAAACCCAAGAAGTGAACATTCCTATCACTTCTTAGTCACCAGCAAATTTCATTTTTGCATGAAAAATCAATGACATGCATCAAGATACACAAAGACTTGACCTGTGCATGACAGCATAAGGTGCTAAACACTAGAGCTGAGCCCATTCTATTTCACTATTTGACATTCAAGATTTCTGCGCTATTCACAGCTATTCGAAGCATGGCAGAGCCATTCAAATACTGGGTGATTTTTTTCCACAACGGATTTCATCTAATTTTTCTTAACCTGAAGTAAAATTAAAGCATAATAAAATATCTAAATTTGTTGAGGTAAATTCGACGTTGCGTTCAAGTTGATGATTACAGGGCAGAGTGATAAGAGGAGCCAGTAGAGTTATAAAACATGCCTCTAAAAGGCACTCATGATGCACTCAATAGACCATCGCTTCGAAGCTCAGCCGGAGATGTTGAGTACATGGCATACTGAGCTCCCTTTGCACGATTCGAAATTCGAAGCACAAGGAGATATGGGTACCCACCACCGCTTCGAAGCGCAACGAATGGCTTTTTGTACATTGGCATACTTAGCTCCCTTGGACAATGTGACATTCAAAGCACAAGGCTACATGGGTGGGCAAAACCACCTCCGCTTCGAAGGACACGAATGGTTTTTTTGTATGCTGGCATATTTAGCTCCCCTTGCACGATTCGACATTCGAAGCATAATGCTATATGGGTACCCACAACTGCTTTGAAGCGCAGCGAATGTTTTTTGTTTTTTTTGGTATGCTGGCATACTTAGCTCCCCTTGGACAATGTGACATTTGAAGCGTAAGGCGTATATTTATGAGTACCCACCGTCGCTTCGAAGTGCCGCAAATGTTGCGTTGTTGTTTTTTTTATTGCAGGCTCCCACACTTACTTAGTTCCCCTTGTACAGTTTGACATTCGAAGCACAAGGTTATAAATGTTGTGATGTGATGTCATCGCCTCGCGTTGTGTCGTGTGTGATTAGAGCCAGTCGTGTTTTTACCAAAAAACAAAAACAAAAAAACCCATTAAAAATTCAACCAGCCACATGAGCCTATTTGTGGGGAGATCCAAAAGATACATATAATTTGTGGGTAGGCCAAGGTGCGTTGGGGGACGGCAGGCAGGGACTAATGAAATGAGAGTTTAAGAGTATTATAAGCCATGCTGGCTAGGCTAAAACTACACATTACACACCTTGCTGTTACACCCACATTGCCCTTTGTCTCTATCTCTCTTCCACTTTGGCAGTGCTCTCTCTTACTTTATGGCTGCATTGTAGATTGTTAGGTGTACATTCTGTTCCCTTGCTTTTGTCCATTTTAGGCCGGTTCTTTGATCGTTGCACTGTTGTGTAATTTCAGAGATTGTATTGTCCTTCAGACTGCAAATTTGTATTCCGTTTCTGTTATATTTTTTCAAAATTATATGCATAATTTGTATTGTTATTATTAGGCCTATCATGCTTCCAACAGAATTCCCTTGAACTTTTAAAACCATTTATTGCTTGAAGTCTTTGCTTATATTAAATCTGTGCAGCTAAATTTTGAGTGATGTGATCAAATTGTACCATGTTAAGCAAAAGCATGGAAAGTATTGTTTGGCAGTTATTTGAGAAGATTAACCAAATAAAGCTACCTATAAAAGAACCCTCAAAAGACAATACGACCTTTCCAACAGCTGTGTTGTGCGATGCAGCGACAGAGTGCGTGTGTGATAGATTTATCGCTCGCTCCTCGCTCGGAAAAAAGTTTTTCTCTTGTCCAAGCCCACCCTGCCCCCTTTTTTCCCCCCACCAATCTGACACTAGACACGAGTGATCTCCTTTTTTTATTATCCCCCCCCCTCCCCCCCCAGTCGCCTTTTTGTTATAAAAAAAAAAAAATCCAACCCATGTTTCATCGCCGACTGCAAATAGTGAACATTCAATAAAGAATGTTGCTGATACTCACCGTAGCCTATTAGGCCTCATCTTAGGCCTACATGTACAGGTATAAGAAAAAAACTATTCTCACATGGTATTTGAATAGCACGAATAGTGACATCACGATTTGCAGTTTCGATGATTTAAAAAAAACTCAAAATTGCACAGCACTACTCAACACCTGATGCATTCAACTGTCATTTGCCTGGGGTTGGAAATGAAAACCAGAAACTGTTAAACAGCACTCCCACATTTACTTCATTGCCTTTATGAGGCCCTCTTTACTAATCTAAACTAATCCAAGCTCGGTACCTGGTGAAGAGTACCCTCAAACTTATCTTATCATGCTGATGTTCTCCTCTTTAGTTTAACTTTACCGGTGTCCGTGATGTAGCAGTTTGGCCCTTTGCCATTTCATACAGAAGCCTTGAGTTCGATTCCCATGGGGGGGGGGGGGGGGGGGGGGGAAAGACTTTTATTGAGTATCTCAATTTTTTTGCTGGGACACTGATTCCCTCAGTCCAACGTTGTGTCCCTGGGAAAGGCACTTTACACTAACTTCCCACTTGGCTCGGTCCTATCGGAGACGGACGTTAAACTAGGAGGTACCGCTCCTTAAATAACCTAATAGTGTTGATAGGGGCGTTAAACCATATCATTTCACCATTTTTTCACTGATTCCCTCTCAGCCCAGATTGGTCCAAACACGAAGGGTAGAAGCCCATAACTTAAATGATCATAATCATGTTGATGGGGGTATAAAAACACCCACATAAATTCTATTTTTATTTGGCAGAGATCATTGTGAGACTTACCTTCTCTTGGAGGCCCTGGAGGAGGTCACTACTGTGCCTGCCTTGGCTCTGGTGGGAGGAGAGCCGTCCATTTGAGCAAAACTACTGCGAGGGGAGGAAACCATACTGATGCTCTCAGCCTCAGCGCTGCCTCGCTTTCCTGAGACTGAGGAACACACAAACATACAGAACCGTGTCACAAAACTCTCAATTTAAACCTGGCATTCATCATGACTAAAAACAAATGTAAAAGTCTTTTCTGACTATACTTCATCCCATAAGTTATTCGGACGTCTAGACAAAACCTGCAAAAATATAGCTAATAATTTATTATAAATAAGAATGCAAAATGTCAATACATGGTAAAAACTAAAAAAAAAGAAGTCTGAAACAGAAACACATTATACAGTCGAATCTGCTCTAATGCCCAAGACAACCACCTGTAAAAACAACCACTTCCCATTGCTCCCCTTGCATTTTTCTTTTTCTATATCATTATATTGACACTGTCCAATACGTCTATCTGTCAAAAAAATTTTCCCCTTGACAACGGGTAGCTGTCTTGGACAATTTTGACTGTATACGAAAAACATTTCAAGAAAGTATGAACTAATTCAAGATTTATTTCTATCAACACCCTAAGCACCCAATGACAGGGACTGAGAGTTATGTCCTGACATGTTTGCAATTTTCAGACTGCCCATATAAATTATTACTAATTGTTTGCACCTTGACAAACTTACACACACTAAACGTCCTGGGATGATTTAACTCTAAGAAATGTTTAAAGCAGGCATGTCAAACTCTAGTCCCTGGTAGGCTACATGTGTCACATATGTGTTACCATGAGGGCCACTCATGACAACTATTTGCCCATCACAACCAGCTGAAGTCTTTTGATGAAATTAATTGCAGAACATTTTGTGACTTAAACCTACAATGTGCTTACAAATGTTTCGGCAAGAAACAGTTTTGCAAAATAAAAAATGTACAGATGACGACCTATACTTGCAGTTTGCAGCCCCATTAAATGCATAGTCTTGTTCTCCGACAAATTTCAGTTGATACCAAGAAGATAAAATGATTGTTCACACATAGCTTGAACTCAATCATTGCCATAATCTTTGTGGAAAACTTTCTGGAGTTTTTCCTTACATTATTAATAGATAGCATTTATTCAAGTAGATGCAAAAGGAAACCAAGTATCAACCACTGCAAGATACTTTTCTCTAAGTGTAGAACCCTAATAGTTCCATCTGCTGGCTTTCTTCTGCCTTCGCAAAATCAAAGGTGAATGATGCTGAGAATAATGCAAACTCGTATTCGAAAGTTGAGAAATCACAAAATGTATTCTGAAATTCCTTTGACAACAATTCCAGGTAACTGTCATATTCATCAAAGATAAGTAGATCCACAGACAGTACTGGCTGTGTTTCTCAATTTTTTCCACGCAGGAAAATGAATTGAAGATACATGTGACAGCTGTTATTTCCATAAGCTTGCAATAAAGCACTTGACTTGATGTCATCATACAACTCAATAATGAGTTTGTTTTTACCTTGTAATTTCTTAATTTTAGCCCTAGTGTGAACCAGCAGTCTGTCTCAGTCTTGACAACGGCAAGGATAGCCTACACTAATACATCATTTATACCAGTTACAATCAGTCTGTGGGAACTTATCGTTAGAGATTCGTGACACATCAATGAAACTTGTTCTCCCAGAGCTGGAGTAAATAGTAGTATACACCCAGACCAATCAACTCCTTTTTCCAGTTATACCTAGTTTCATTTGGATCTTCGTGGCGTTCTTTTTTATGAAAATGTTTTCATTGTTCTATAACCAAAGTTAAATGGTTTTTGATTTTAGTCAGCAGTAGTAACTTTTGGTGAAGAAGCCTAGATGGTGCTGCAAGCTAAACCCCACCACAAGCCAATGCTTGCGCTGTAAAGATTTTGGTGGGGGCCATATGTGTGCTTGTTAAGGCCACATGTGGCCTGTGGACCTTATGTTTGACATGCCTGGTTTAGAGTTATATAATAGGACTTAACAGAACAGACCCGGAATGCAATAAATAATTTTTTAAAAATATCATAGAAGGTAAGCTTTTTGCAGTCAAGACACTAGATTATGCCCCTTTGTCAAGGAATTATGTCTATACATTTCAATCATCAAACGAAGCAATTCCAGCAGATTGATGATTGGCATATCAAACAAGTGCCAACATTGATAATATATCATTTTCACTCATAACAAACATAATATCTCAAAGCAATGATGTATTAAAATCATTAACACCAAAGGACATCATTACAAAGTGCAACAAAGTCTGGTAAAGTATTTTACCAAATCTTCTAAAATAGAAACAGTATCTGCTATATCAAAACAACAGTGGCAGGGAGGGGGTGGCAGTGTGGACACATCTTTTTACATTTACAACACACTATACAAATACCAAAAACTCTTATTGGTGGCAAGCATTATAGACTTATCTACATAGCTATGTGTAACAGACAAAGAGACATGGGAGGGATGTATCTCAGGTAACTGATACACATAAAACTGAAAAAGCTGCTGCCAAATTGTTACTCTGTTCAGAATGTGACCACGTACGTGTATTTACAGCTTGAAATAAACATCTTTCATTAACAAAGGAATTTTAATATTTTTTTTATATCACCATGTACAAAATAAAAGTCTTCAGTTCCAAAGAAGCATAACACGGCGTCACTTTTCGCCCGATTCTGTTACCTATAGTTAGCGTGACTCAGCAGCCTGCCGGAGCTCCTTGGCTCGGGGTCAATGAGACCTGAAGCGACTTTGCCGGCGTCGGTTAAGAAGTTCGCATTTTTGTCTACGTTTGAAACGATATAACTTCTTCCCCATTCCACACAGCAAACCATTACGTGGATGTACTAAAAGCTCAAAGTCTTGAGATTTATTCTGCGTTAGAATGGTTCATTTCTGTTCCTTAGTTTTTGTTCTAGATAAGTATTCATAGTGTACTCAATTTGTCCTATTTTTGTTCCATATTTACGAATAAATGATTATTTTAAAACGGCATGACAGACCTCTCCAAAATCTGTGTTAAACTGACTACGAATATCATGTCTTTTACTATGAGAAATCTTAAATCTCCGCGAGTAGTAATAGTCAAGTTATAAGAGAAAAAAGATGCACATTTGCATTTTTAAACTAATGACACTCAGCATTAGCTCTTGTTCTACCATTTATCAAGAGAAAGTTACTCTGCGTATGTTCATGAATCATGCTGTGTCTGTGGCAGCCTGCATACAACTAAGAAAGATATATTATGAGATTTAAAAAAAACACAAAACTGTGTTAATACATGGGTAGAGATGAACTTCTTGTATGGAATAAAAATAACGACAGCTAAAATCAGAACATTGTCAGTTATTCGCAAATAGTTTTATAGAAACAAAATTAAAAGCTGGAAAAGGCTGGTGCTGATTCAGTGTCACTGGAAAGCTAGAAATTATTCTTATAACACAATTATGAGAAGTCATCCTTGTTATTCAGTCAACTTACAAAACCCAGAAATCTAAAATTGGTTTGTACTTTTTCATAGAGAGACATCAGGGTAATTTTTATATATTAGACACATAAAGTTGTATTTGGAGGAATTACTTCATAGCGAATTGAGTGCCAGATGGATAAAGTTGCAAAATTATAGCTTTCTATTATACGCGCAGATACCAACTTTTCTGAATATCTGAACCAATGTTATGTCGTTTATGTTCCAAAAGTTTGACAGTTTTCGTCGTGCCGTTTTTTTTACACATTGATTTTTTTTCATTCACACTTGTCAAAATTTTTTTACAATTTAGCATTGCCGACTTCAACACGTCTAACGAAATAACCAGACAAGTTATAATGTCTGTTGCTTTTTGGGTCTCAAGAGCAGAAAAGTGTGCTTTTGGTCCATTTAATGATAATTACCATAAATGAAGGGATACACCTAAAACTGTACGTAGAAAAGTACCAAAATTGAAGTCAGCCCAGACAGAGAGGCGACAGGGAGCTGTACCCCGTGACCCCGACGTGATAAGGCGCTCGGAGGGGAACCCCCAGCTGCAACTAAAATTCCACTGCCAGTGCGCCGTGATAAACACAAGCATACTATTCTTAATCCTACATGGAAATGAGACCCAAAATCATCATTAGAAAGACGTGCCAGACTGAAATAGACAATGGCAATCATAGTTTGATACTCATTTCTCTGCTCAGTTGCTCTTAAAAAACCCAACCCAATATCTTCCTGGTCTTTCCTCATCACCCATCTGTTCAAGTTCTCTACATAATTTTCTTGGACCACCTCTGCCCCTTTTGCCTTCTATTTATCCAATGAGAGTCAGATATTCGAGGCCTTAACACTTCCTCAATTGTCCCAGAAACCCCAATTCCTAATCATTTTTATTAGTGAGCAGACCACTCAAGTTTCTTTCAACACTATCTCATTTGATTTTTAAATTTCTTTTTCCTTTAATGAAATTTTCAATGGACTCCAAAGAAACCACATTTCTGCTGCTTCAAGATTATTTTCTAATATCTTTGTTAATTGTCCAGCACTCACAACCCTATATGGCCCCACATAGCCTTTTATAATTCTTATTTTGATTGCCATTGAGATGTTTCTGTTTTTCAGGATTGGTATCATTTTTATTGAATGTCTTTAGCTATTGCAATTCTCCGTTTTATTTCAAAGGTACATATGAAATTGGATGTAGCCTAATCATATATCCTAAATATCTGAACTGTTGAACTTGTGAGATTATATATTACCTTTGCTCATGAGATACAAGTTCTTCTTCTTTTCTTCTTTGCATTCCCCTGCTAGATGTCAGGAGTAGTAGACTGCTGGTAGTGCAGCTGATTAAAAAAAAAAAACGACAATTTTTCCTACTTTGTAGGGCCGTCTGCTTACAGGCAGCTGCATTCCAATTTTGAAAGACCACTAGATTTTTTATATGGACCTAAGTATTTTCTATTTTGGTGCAAATTAATTTTTTATTTAGCCTGGTTGATGGTCAAAGCCTACTCATCAATTTTAGGACCACCAAGGGATTTTAATGAGAGTAACTTGCACACAGGACCTCCGAGACCTTTTGCCCTTATCTGAGAGGGCTAGATGTGTGATCTTAACTAC